GACGGATCACGGATGGATGCATAGCAGGGAGCGAGCCTCGTACGCGCCATTGCCTGCTCGCTTGTCCACCGTGCCTGTCATTCAACCGCGGTGAGCTAGCTGAACGACGCGACGTGACATGAGGAAACAAACTCTTGTACCATCCGGTGCCTTGCTTTTTATTCATCCCATTCTTCCTCGCCCGCGCGCGCGGGGATCGATGCCCGCGTCAAGAAGAATATCGGGGTGGTGGTGGGGGTGGGGCGCGCGGTGTCTTTTCGTCGGCGAGGGAGCGCGCGAAACGGAGGAGACGACGACGACGGGGGCGGGGCCGGGTGCGGATTACAGATGGATGCTGGCCGGCCGGGCTGGGTGCTACGGTCCTAATCATGATGGGTCAAGCTGGGGATTCGTGCCATCTGCTTTGGGCTGTTCAAAAAGGCACCAACTGCAAAGGCACGCGCTGGCTTTCTCTCTCTCTCTCGTAGAATTGCTCGCTCGCTTGCCGACCCAAAAGCTCAACTTCAAACGAGCCCTTTGTGGCCAATTTTCGGTCTTTCCTCTCTGCAAACCTTGCCACCGATCACATGGGTTTTGATTGAGCAAATCACATGCACTGATCAATCTAGTACTAGTGTGGTAGGATTTAACATCGGTGATCGTGATTATTTATACGTAAACCGTGACGATGAATTTAGAACTAACTCTAGTGATCTCGATGGTCGGAGGAGTAACAAATTGGCGCGGGATACGTCACAGCTTTATCAGATCACCTCGCGGCGCTTTTGTTCTCTCCTCGGAATTCACCACGCGGGGAAGAGAGAGGCAGGCAGGGGCAGAAGCCGGCTTGGTAAAAACAAACTTGGTGTTTCCAATCCGTCGATCGGGGCGCGCTGCCAGAGGCAACAAAGATTCGATCGGGAGACGCCATCATCACGCGGGGAGAAGACACACCTCCTGCTGCCTATCAGCATCGCCCTCCAAGAACATTCCCATGCATCAGATCTTTGCCCAATCTTTTTGTTTAATCGATCGCTACGTACTCCTCGCTAGCTAGGGCCCTGTACGTACCAGCAGCTATAGCACGACTGTGTGCCTCTGTGCATGTGTTTGTGACTACTCCATAGATCAAATCGATTATGCAAATATGCATGCCATGCACAGTACAGTACTAGTAGCAGTGAGCCAGTGAAGAGTGGTGCCTGCCTCGGACGACACGAGCTAGAGAAGAGAAAAACAGATTACGCCCATAACGTAATCAACGTTACGTACTCCGGGTGTGTTTGGTTGCAAGCCACAGTTTGTCACAGTTTGCCACGCCTAAGGTTAGACAAATTTGACAGGTATTTGGTTGTAGCCACAGTTGTGGCAAGATTCCCCTCCAACAAATTGGGTCTCACATGTCAATGGCTCAAAAAAGTGTGGCAAGATTCCCTTAGGCTTAGTAAGTTGTGGCTAACAATTTGATCACCTCACCTTAGACAAGGTGTGGCAATTTTGTTGGCAAATAATGGTAAAGTGTGGCTGGGAACCAAACAGCCCCTCCATGCCGTTTCCCAGTCACGGTAGCCAAGGCTGAAGGCTGGGATCGATATACGCGGCCGTTATATTATACTCTACTGATGGGCCTGCAGGCAGGCAGACCGGCATGAATCATTCGCGATGTGAAAAGAAACGGCGATCGGAATCGTACTCCAAAGCGAGAGCGCGGCATGATTATGTTCGGACAAATGCGCACTGGGATTCGGTGTCATTCCGTTTCAAAACACATGCATATGTGCAAACCTCTCTCTCTCCCTCATCATCCATGTGGGCAGCCATGGAAACCTGGAACTTGGTCGATCATTATACAATAGTACTGTTTTTCTTCTCTGATTTTGGCGTAGAATTTCAACATTTTTACATCAGCTTTACGTAGGGATGTGGGTGACTAACACACAAACCCACTTAAGACATCACTAGTATATGGGAAAAATGATCCATATAAATATTACCCACATAAATAAACTTTAACTATAGCAATACCCACAATATATATAGATATAAAGTAGCATTAGGAGAAGAGAAAAGTAGAGATAAGTAATATTATTTGTTTTATATAGGTATTCTATATACGGAATTGCTAAAACTCTATCGACAGAAAATCCTACCTCAAATCTTGTAAAATTTGGATCACTGGATGTGCTTCACGATTCGTGCTGTTCTTCTCCAACTCCGGCGACCACCTCTTCTTCTCCGGCGCCGGCGAACCCAAACTCCGGTAGAGGGCCGACGAATTAGGGTCCCGGGGTGGGGTGGGGGTGGGGGAGAGGGGGAGGGGGAAGAGGGGGGAGTTCGCTGTCTTTAGAGGGATGGCCGTGGGAGGCGGTAGCCCGGCGGTGGGCGGCGGATCGGGCGGGCGGCGGCGGCGGCACCGAAGCCGCGGGGCTGGAGGACGGTGGCGGGCCGGTGTAGGCGGCGGGGCAAAGCGGAAAGAGTTGGGAGGAGGTGGCCGGTGGTGGCGCCCCGCCGCCGGCGACGGGGAAGACGACGGACAGCTCGTCGCCGCCGGCTTGAGGCAAAGGAGAGGAGAGGGAAAGGGAGGGGGAAGGGAAGAGGGAGGGGGCCGGCCGGGGGGGGCCTCGCCGGCGCCGTTGACACCATTCGGCCAGCCGGCAAGGCCAGGCGGTGGCGCGCTGGGGTGGCGGCGGCGGTGGCGGAGACGCTGAGGAGCGGCGGCGCGTGAGGAATCGGGAGAGGAGAGGAATCGGGAGAGAGAGGAGAGAGGATTTTTAGGGTTTGGTTGCCTGCACGAATCTTAAAGCAATCGGATGGTCCAAAATTTGCAAGATTTGTGAGGGGGTTTTCTGTCAAATGATTTATAGACAGTCCCTTCTATATATATATATATATATATATATATATATATATATATATATGGATATCTTTTATTATTTTTTCTTTATATATATGGCTGAATGTAATATTTTTTACCTATGAAATATTTTTGCACTACATTGAGGATGTCCTGATACATCAAAATAAGCGGGTTTATGGCTTATTTTGGTATATAAGTGGGTTTTGCTAGTTAACCACCAACTCCCTTCATCACATAAAATAAACTTTGAATTAGATGTGACATAACTAATACAACGAATCTGAATACTTTTTGAGTAAATTTTACAAAACTACAGTTACTTTGATCAGATCATAATAAAACTATTGATTTAAGATGTTGCATCACAAAACTACAAATTTAATACATGACTTATCATAAAATTACATATTTAAGCCAACTATCACAAAGTTATAGATTTAATACTAGAGTTATCACAAAACTACCACTGCTGGAGAAACCGTTTATACTCCGATTGGTAACTTTCTTTAGTCCCGTTTTTTCAAACGGGACTAGCAATCCGGGACTAAAGATGTCAATCTTTAGTCCTGGTTGGTGTCGGTATCTTTAGAGGGTAGCGGCAGTCCCAATAGGTCTCATTTTCTTTTTTTTCCATTGTTTTTTAGCCCGAGTTTATTCCCTGTATTTTCTCCCAAATCGAGTGAGATGCATATTCCCAAATCAAACTAACATCCCAAAACATTCACATCACAAATCTTAAGTTACTTGTATACACAAATCAAATACATCACAAATCTTAAAAAAATTACACACAAACCAAATACATCACATATTATACATATCAGTGAATCACAAAATGTAAAAAAAAAGAATGGATGCCGGTAGCGCCGTCTGCTACTCGGTCCGTGCGCAGCCGCCTGCTGCGTGCGGCCCTGTCGGGCGCAGCCCCGCCGGGCACGGCCCCGCCGACCGCCTGACGCGTGCGGGAAGGGAGTAGGGGGAGGCGGCGGCCCTTGCTGGGCATCGGATGGGGAGGGAGGAGGGGGAGGAGAGGGCCGGGATGGGAGGAGGGGGAGGAGGAGGGGGAGGAGGAGAGGGAGATGGATTTGAGGAGAGGAGAGGCTGGTTGTTGAGGAGATTGAGGCTGGTTGTGGGGAAGAGATAGGGAATAGGGATTATATACTACGCGTGATTTTAGTACCAACCGGGAGTAAAGATCTAGGAGATGACTAAAGTGGTGATCTTTAGTCCCGATTTGTGACACCAACCGGGACTAAAGATCCCCGCCCCTCTGACAAGGGACTGACATGGGATGAACCGGGACTAAAGATCTTTAGTCCCGGTTCTTTTTTTTAACCGGGACTATTGTGGTTTTGGGGCGACCAAGCAAAGATCAGTTTTCCAGTAGTGTACATATTATATAGCTTAAATCCCTACCACTACTGCTATGTTAGAGTGATAAATGTTGTAGTTTTGTACTTAACATGATGTAAAGTATGTACTTTTGTGATAATTTTATTACTAAATTTATAGTTTGGTGATCTTCCATTTTAAATTTGTAGTTCTTTGATAATTTTGGTTATAAATCTCTTGTTGTATGATACATCTTTTTAAATATATAGTTTTGTGATAGTTTTGTCAAAGAACATGTCGTTTCATGAAATTTACTCTTTTTTATGGAAGGAGTACACGTTATACGTGTGTCTGGTTGGGGAAATTTTAGGAAATGGGCCGAGATGGTACTGTTGTATGGAGATGGGCTGACTTAGGAGCAGAATTCGACGATGGGAAAGTCCCATGTGCTATTGCAGCCCGTAGGCCGTGTGGCTACGTGGATCGTAGTCCGGGCTGCGCGCACCTCACAGTCTCCGGCCTTTTAATTGGTGTTCTTGTTGGGCCGAAATGTTTATGATGTCTTTTGATTCTGGCTTTCAGACTATACAAACTAGCTTCAACCATGGTAATGTTTGGTTCATTTCCCTAACAAAATGTTCCAAAAAGAAGAGGCGGGAGTAAACCAAATATCTAACTATGAAGAAAAAAGGGTGAAGCACGATTTGAATTTTTTTAGAATTCATTTAATTTAATGCGATTTAAAATTTAAAACTGTACAAAACCATATCCATTCCACCCAGTGCGGCCCAACTGCTGCCCGAGGCCCACACTGAATTCCTCCCTCACTTTCCTCGCATCGCAACGTGCGGAGATGCAGCAACGTCTCGACGAGTCGACGGCGCCGCGACGGGGAGCGGCCGTCTTCGCATCTCTCCCCCATTCAAATTCCAATACTCCAAAGCACCGTTAATACTACTACTTCTCTCACGAATCCCCAATCCCTAAAATCCCCGTACGCCGCCCGCTTCTCTCCTCCGATTCCTCCGCCGCCTTCGCGCCGCCGCCCTCGCCTCTCTTGCGCCTCCACCGGCCACCGCCGCGGCGTCCGATGGAGAAGCCGGAGTGGAGCATGGACGACTTCGAGATCGGCAAGTACATCGGCGAGGGCAAGTTCGGGAAGGTCTACCTCGCCCGCGAGAAGCAGGTACGCTTCCAAGCCCTAGCCCTAGCCCTAGCCCCCCAACACCTTCGATTTCGTCTCGATTTCGCCTTCGTTGGGAGCTGATTTTGCCCGGGGACAACTGCGGGTGGTTTCAGAGCGGCTACGTGGTGGCGCTCAAGGTGACATTCAAGGCGAAGCTGGACAAGTACAGGTTCCACGCGCACCTGCGGCGGGAGATCGAGATCCAGCACGGCCTCGACCACCCCAACGTGCTCCGTCTCTTCGCCTGGTTCCACGACGCCGAGCGCGTCGTCCTCGTGCTCGAGTACGCCGCCCGTGGGGAGCTTTACAAGCTCCTCCGCACCGTCCGCCGCTTCTCTGAGCGCACCGCTGCTACTGTGAGCCCCCTCACCCCCTAGCGCCTTTCATCAGTTCAATTTCCTCCCATTTTCTTTTGTGATTGTTTTTGTTGCAATCGTGTACTATTGATTACGTTAGCAAACTTACTGTTCGCCCGTAATTTTTATGACCCAAACCATTCGAAAATTCATAATCGGCATAAACCCTGTATGTTAAATTCTATAGCTCTACAGACATACGGACGGAGTAGTATTTAATTTTCTTTCATTGTCAAATCTTTTGCAAGTTGTTCGTGCTATTGGATCTGCTAGAAATTCCCATGATCTCATCAGAACATTGCGATTCACAGGCTCTAACATTTTTCCAGATACACATCACTTTTTTTTTGCTTCCATTACATGAAATGAACTAAAGCATTGTCACCTTTTTATGTCTATAAAATCTGACAAAGAGTAACACAAGGATATGCTTTCAGACATGAATTCATGGAACATCATGAGTACCAGTTTTCCATTAACCAAAAAAGATGAACATTTCCTTTGATTCTTTACCATAAGCTCTGAACAGAACAACATGCACCTGCCTTGCCATCTATGATATCTCAGGCCCTATAATTATGATGTACATATGTTGCTTTCCTTCTGATTTTCTAATGTTCACATTATACTTTGTGATGACCTTGTACCTTGTTTATTTTTAGTATGTTGCCAGCCTTGCCGGTGCACTAGCATACTGTCATAAGAAGCAAGTTATCCATCGGGACATCAAGCCAGAGAATTTACTCCTTGATATTGAGGTTGGTTCTTTTATCTGCAGTTTTGCACCTCTTCTACTGTTACCCTTCTCAACACCATCTTCCATAAAGTGTTGCAAGTGAATTGAATAGCATCTTCCTCTTAAAGAAATAACTGAATTGTGTCATGTTAATTAGTTTGAAGGTATCTTCGCCTTTTTTTTCTTCTTAATTTCTACTGTCTTTGTAACAAGTTTCACAACCTGATGGTCTCAGATATGCACATGTAAATATAACAGATTCATGATATTTTAATCTACAGTTGATATGGTGTTTCTGAATGAAACATTTTCTTTGCAACTTTGCATATCTGATTTGATTCACATTAAGTGTAAATTATAGAGCTTTGTATATGTGAAAAAATATGGACTGTCAAATTTGACCTGATGGAACTTTTTAAATGGAAATGGCAACTTGAAACACATGTGGAATGGAAGAATATGTATGTAAATATAATGCATCCAGATTATGCCTGAGTAGTAGTAGTAGTAGACTAGTATTATGGTACAGATCTTACATGTAAATAATGATGGGACATGACAGAGAATGCCTCTACTGAATTCCACACGATGTTGCTGGTTTGAATACTGTATATGTGGACTGGAAGCTAAGTTATTACAATAGAATCCTCTCATTATTATTGAAGAATGGATAGTGTCACCATGAATATGATCACATGCTATCATGTAACTCTAGTTTTCTTGCCTCAAATATAAGAGTAGAAAGTTGATAGATAACAGTCTCGATGTGTTCATATGTTGTGCCTGATGGTTGATGTGACCTTAACTGCGTGTCGGTACATGACATGCTAACATTTGTTTTAAATAACTATGTACCTCCCCCTTTTCCAGGGCCGACTTAAAATTGCAGATTTTGGATGGGCGGTTAGATCAAATGCTAAACGACACACACTTTGTGGTACAATTGATTACCTGGCACCTGAAATGATAGAGAAAAAGGCTCATGACCATGCTGTTGACAACTGGACTTTAGGAATCTTGTGCTATGAGTTCTTATATGGGTCACCACCTTTTGAAGCAGCAGAACAGGATGATACATTGAGGAGGTAAGACCTACTGTGTTGAATGTTTTGTCCAATCTTAATTTGTTACATGTTTTCACTCTCCTTAATATGAATTCTGAGCAGGATAGTTAAAGTGGATTTGTCGTTCCCCTCAACTCCTTATGTTTCTGCAGATGCTAAGGATCTCATTTGCAAGGTAAAATTTGTGGTATTGATTATACCTATTGTATATGTTACACTAAAATGGGTTGAACTTTTGAGTTTTGAGCTTCGAGTTCGTATGCAGCTTTTGGTGAAGGATTCAAACAAGAGACTTTCTCTTGATGACATAATGAAACATCCATGGATTGTGAAGAATGCAGACCCATCAGGGAGTTGTAGTGACCAAAAGGCTCGCACATAATACCTTTAAGAAACAAGGTACATTGGGAAGCATAACGTGCTAATGAAATACACACCTTACCTTCCCAGTCATCACCCTAGTATGCTGAGCTAAACATTAAACTTTATACACATTTGTCAGGCTACATTAAAACGATTCTGTTCTGTTCTCATTATGGACTATAATAATTTTCTTCATTTGTTTGTGAAGCATTTTAGGCCTACTTTGGATTGTAGGAATTCTAGATGATATTCGGAGGTTTCATTTCCTGTATTATTGAGTTACTGTTCACCCCTTTGGATTGGAGGAAGAAGGCATAGGAAATTTGGAGGAATTTTTCCTTTGCCTTTGATTTCGTAGGTAGTCCAAGGCAAATCAATGCATGTTACTCCAAATGATCATAGTTTTAAACACATACTAAGGAAAATAATACACATTTTATGCTTATTTAGGAAGAGTCCTGTGTTTTACTCTATTTATGTGTTCCAAACGATATGTATCATATTTTCCTATGTTTTTCAATCCTATATTTTGCGTATGCAATCCTATCGTATTACTACATTTTTTTCTATTCCTGTTTTTCCAATTCCTGCACTGCGAATGAGCCCTTGACTACCAATAGTGTCCTTCAGCTTTCCCAAACCTTGTCTGAGACTCTACTTTGGAAGTGGCAGGTTAAGGGCTTGTCCTGTAAGATTTAGGTGCTGTGAGAAGTTTTGAAATTAGACCAAAGTGTAGTCTGATGCAGCATACGAGGAGTTAGTTTTTCCACCTTGTGCCCGTTCTGAATTTGGACTCAAATCCTTGTGGCTTTCCCTGCTCTCTTATTTGTATTTATTTTTTGGCTCTTTTATGCAGGTTACTCCGTGTCATTGAGGGACCTGGTGAAGGCTGGTGTAGTATTTTGGCGAATGCGTTGTTTGCCAGTGGCCCGTATTTTTTTAGCTAATTAAGTAATTATGGATGTCTATATGTATCCGCTAATCCCACCTCACTGGGAAGCCCCAAGCTACCTAACTACACTGGCTAATGCATGACGTGAAGTCCTACCATGTTTATGTTTGCTGTTGTCCGCTCCTAAAGGAAGTTGGCTGGTGTAGCCGTACCAGTTTATGACCCTAATCCTCATCAGTCATCGGTGATAGCATCTTCATTACCCTAAGTGCCATGTTGTTGTTGTGGATAAAGTTACTTAACGGAAATATAAGTATACCAAGTGCATGTCTACCTACCTTAGGAAAATTGGTTCATATCTTCCCCATATTTGGTCTAGTTCGGTGTGGTTGCGCTAATGATTTAATCTAATGTAGCCTCATGCCGTTACACGAGAAACTAGTGCAGTTAGACCTTGAACAAGCAACATAGAAAGTTGATTAGGTCATAAAAGTCAATTTATCATATGCTTCATTTTGAAGAAATTTAGTGCGAATTCGAGTAATTTCTGTAAAGCTCTGGCAAAATTCCTGCGTTTGGAAGTGCAAGAAAGAATATTGTGTGCCTCGCTAATCCAGTTATCTGGGCCCACCAGTCAGCGTCTGATTTACTCCATTAACGTCCCCCCATCTAATCCTCCGTCTTCCCCACCCTTCCCTCCGTGAAGAGAGATCCCCATCCACCTTCGGGGAAGGTAAGCCTCGAGCCCTCGACTCGAGACCTACCTCTCCCCGAGCTCGAATCCTTCTCGAAGCTTCCAGATTCTTCCACCCCCCCCCAACCCTAGCCATGGCTTCCTCCTCCTCGCCTCTGCCCCTTCTCTGCCTCCTCCTCCTCATGCTGCTCCCCTCCCCCTCCTCCTCCGCCTCGTTCTCCTTCGCCACCGCTTCCTCCAACGCCTCCCTCTCCACCTTCAGCGACAGCGACCCGGAGCCGGAGCTCGCGCGGGAGCCTACTTTCCTCGAGGAGGTCATCGATGCCGTGTCGGAGAAGTACGACTGGGACCCCGACGCGGAGGTCCGGGTCTGGCCGCTCGACGCCGACGCCGCCCGGGTCGGCGCCGTGCAGCGCTACGAGTTCCGCGCACGGGCGGGATCGGCGTCGGCGCTGGTGCGGCTCGCCGACGAATCCGTGGAGTGGAGGCACCCCGCCGCGCCGGCCGTGGAGGAGGTGGATGGGCCCGACGGGCTCGACGTCGTCCCCGGCGATGGCGCGTTGGGGTTTCGCCCGGGCGTGAGGGACGTTGACCTCGTCGGGCCGGTGGAGGTGAGGGTTGCAAGCGGCGGGGATGGTGGCTCCATCGAACTGCAGTTGCCGTCGGTGAGTGGAGTTTACTTGTAATTGCTTTCTGATTTCGCTTCGGATCGGTTGCTTATACATGTTAGGGTTCAAATGATAGCTGTAGAAATTGTGTTAGCTCTAGCCTTGCGTGATTGACCAAATTACAGAACTGATCTAGTGGCTGCAATTCTCTCGTAGAATTATAACTACTCCCCCTTCTCTAGTTGTTGGTGAATCAAATTTGCTTGTTGCTGTTTCATTTGAATGCTAAACTAGATCAATAGAATCCCATGTTTAGCTTGTATGCTGCCAACCAATTACCATGTATTGGAACAGGGCTTCCAAGTATTAGATCGTTTTATGCTGAAGGCTATAACATAAAGTGCAATATTTCTATGTATGAGCAATACCATATGAATCTCTTCACGTACTAATACATGCAAAACCATTTGGTAAAGTGAGTTGTATAGATGCAATGATGGACTGCTTTTTTCAATTGATGCTATGTAATTTATCTTAAATGTGACATTCTGGCTGCTTGAGCTGGAATTTAGCTTAACGACAAAATATAAGATTGGATGGCAGTTGGAACAGAACACAAACATTTTCTTTACCATATTATTTGGACACTACCGGTTGTTCTGCGTGGAATGGAAGGGTCATGGTCTCATAGATGGCATAACTAGGCATGCAGATGTGTTTTTGTGGTTAATACCAAGTGTAAAGCCTGTAAATTCTGTTAGTAAGAGAGTGCAGTGCTTTAATGTGCATTTGGAATTCTAGAAATATTATTAGCAGCAGAATGCAGTTGTGTAAATGGCATTTTAATAACATGCTATTCTATTTGATAGATAGTTGTACCATGCAATTTAGAGAAAGGCTATCAACATGTAAATAACAAGGCAGATGTTGCAACTCTGTTGGCAAAGTTTCTCGTTTAAGAACTTTGGTAGAGATATTTTAGATATTTGATTTAGGGTTATGCTATTGATCTTTCTTTGTTTGCAATATAGTAATGTATACAATGGTTCTCTGTACGTAACAGTCACCAACTAAAAATTACTTAAAAGAGGGTATCTGTTTTCCATATCCTGTAATCGGGGCAAGTTTTATGTAACTAAAAGGGTACTTTTGTTTTTTAAAGACCGGTCATCTGTTTCACGCAATCTTTGTTTTAGCAATTTCCAGCATTTCGCAACATATGTTGTAATCCCACCTTGACTGCTTCAGATTCTTATGTTGCACTTCTTATGCAGCGGAATGCTACCTATGCAGGACTGAAGAGGGTAATTGTTGCTGCTGGCGTTGCATTGAAGGTTATTGGTGCGCAGAAAGTTATCTTTACCCATCCTCACAGTATAGGTCTTTTAACAAATGGAAGCCTATTGGCTAGTAATAATGATCCAAGTCGAATATGGCCTCTCAGCTATGCAACTTGTGCTCCGATACTTCAAGTCAGTGTTGTAGGATCAGTCATGATAGTTGTTAATGAAAGCAATGTGCTTGGGAGGCGGAGATCACATGACACTGTGGAGTTATTATCAGAAAAATGTGAAGTGGATGTAGCAAACCGGTTGATCTCAGTTTGTGTGTTCTGTTCAATTAGTTCAAGACTGCCAAGGCTAGATAAAATCTTGAAGACTTGGTTTAGCAATAAAACTCAGGATAGCAAATCAATGCAGTTTATCCAAGCTAAAGTGACATCAATACCTTTGATAAAATTCCGTTTGGAGCTTGAGAGGGACATCACTGAAGAGGATGGCATCTGGGAAAATATTTCCAAGTGGAAAACAGTACCTATGGTCCAGCGCGTCGCACTTGATGTTGTAGCTAAGGTTGAAGAAGAAGGCAGGCTGAAGGCTATGTCAGTGAAGAAGGTTAAAAAACCTTATCCAGTAGTGGACGCTTCTTCTTGGAGCAGCTTGACTTCAAATATTTCTTTCACAAAGTTCATGTCTTTCGTTTTGCCACCAGAACCGTTGACACTGGATGTGAAGTGGTGATATTTTCTGGTTCTCATTTACTCATAGGGTTTATAGGAAATTGCACATATTAATCAAATCCGTGTATAATTGACTAGGCTGAAAGAAGTTGTACCTGAAAATGGGGTTGGAATGTACTACTATATTAAAATTTTGGATTTTCCCTGACTAACTGTGTTGTTTCAACCTCATTCTTTATAGATGTTAGTTCTCTTGTGCAACGAATTTTGGATGCTAGTTCTCTTGTGCAATGTCAGTGCTTACATGCTGGGATTATTTCTAATGTGGCAAGGAAGATTGAGATTAGAGTTGCTCCAATTTGTGGTGTTGCGCCAGCTTTGTATGTCTAGGGATGCCATTAAACGGGCATAAATGATCGCACAATGATGGTACCAAATTGGATGAGGATCCTAGGTTCATGGCAATATGAAACGGCACTTAAACAATGGACGTTTCAAAACCTCAAATTCATTCATACTAGGCTCACAGCGAGTGTCCAAAAAGAACAATGAGTTGACCCACTTTGCGTTGTACAAGAGCAAAATTTACCATCATACCGGTACAAACCACACAGGAATAATACATCAATTCACTTTCAATCAACACCGCATAAATTGACAAGGCTTGACGAGGAACAATGCATCATGCTTTCTATTTCTTTTACACTAAGATTTGAACATCATCTGACGCCCACTCTCCTTGTGTCTGAAACAGATCATCCGGAGCTAAGCCTACAACTATGGATGTTCATTTATCCGCGTTTTATAAATATGAAGGAGGTGCCTTCTTACATTACTGAGTACAGGAATTGCTGCCTTTTAACCAAGCATCTGCCACCAGGGCAGGCAAAAAAACTGATAGTCAGCCCATCTGCCAAAGGGTATTTGAGGCAAGGCGACGTCCAGCATAACAAAAATTAAGAGGAAATGTGGCTCAGCTCACATTGAAGCTCGGCCAAAAGAATGGATTGGTTTCTGGTCTGCCACAATAAATATTTCTCAGGAGATGCCTGCTGTGCAGTGAACTGCATCATGCTCAAAGACCGTATGTTATTTTCGATGGAGGCCAGTATCGAAGCACAGATCTGCCAAGAATGTTCTTCACAGGGAGAGGTCCCCTACAATGACACAGAAACATAAGATACTTGTGGCAAACTGGCAACTGGGTTAACAGCTTAGGTAGTAACACCCATTGAGATTTTGCATACCAATTATGTGAATCGAAGCTGTTGTTTCTGTTGTCCCCCAGCACAAACACGTAACCTTGAGGAACAGTCTGGCAAAAGTAACCACGATTGATAAGTATGTATGCTCCACTATGGTCTTAGCAAATGAGCATTAATATTAAAGCGACAAACTCATATTCCCCTATAAGGCCATAAGCAAATGAAGGGTACATAACAAAAATGATGCAGTCAATTCCCACATTTCAAGCATCTTAATGTCTGATCTAACAGAGTTGGCACTTTACTCAAATACTTGATGCCATCAAACTGTGACACTAACTGAAAGCAAATAAGTACTCCTAGTACATTACAACATCAAGTACATTAGTATCCAATATAAAGAGATGTTGCCATACCACTTGATCCATTTCATAGTTGAGTGGCTCCAGCACAAATTCCTCATCCTGGACTACTCCATTAACCAATAATTTACCATCACGTACCTAATAAAAGCAGGGAATACCAATGGTCATTACTCATGCAAATGGCAAAGAAAAGCATGAAATTTTTTGGAAAAAAAGGAAAACAAATAGGAGTCACTACCATTCGGATAAAAGCTTACTTCAACGGTATCCCCACCCTTGGCCACAATTCTCTTGATGAATACATCTCCTGAACTGCACCCCAAGGCCTGAAAAGATCATTCAACTACTAGTCATAACAAATTCTATTATGAATTAAATCAGGCAACAGATAAAAGGGAGAACATACCTGCAGAACTGGGGGGGCACGGAAGATCACAATGTCCAAAATATTAGGCTCCCGGAAAACGTATGAAACCTAATACCATAACAACATCAGCAAACACACATCACAAACTATTCTTACTCATAGAACAATCAACAACAGGAAATTGACTTTACCTTGTCGGCAAGGATTCGGTCACCAACATCGAATGTCGGATACATAGACTTGGATGGGATGGACCTTGGCTCAGCTAAGGATGATCTATATAACAGTGGCACAGTCACAGCGGCAAAGACAGTCTTGGCATCATCCGAACAGGAGCTCACCCACCTTGATAGCCAGTTCCTCCTGCTCACCTCTGCAGCAGCACCAAGTGCAGGACTGCTCTTTCTCACCATTCCAGCAGCACCGGAGTTAATTGCGCCACTACCAACCAATGGTTTCACGCCCACGCCCACATTAGAAGAGGCACCACTGGAGTTGATTACGCCGGAGTTGATTACACCACTACCAACCAATGCTTTCACGCCCACCTTAGAAGGGGCAGCCACCGCAGGCGAGGGCACATGTGCAGGACGGGGCGAAGGCGCAGGTGCAGGCTTAGTTCGTGACACAGGCGTAGCAGCAGGCGCAGCAGTGGGCGCTTTAGCTACATCAACTGGGCGAGCCGATTTGCGGGATGGCGCCGCGGAGGTGATGAGGTCACTGCAAGGGAGCCACTTGGTCGCCTGCAGGAATGGGAGGAGCGCCGCGGGGTTGAACGCTGACGATATTGACGGCGACGCCGAGAGCGATGAGGCGCCCACGCGGCCAGTAGCGGAGCCCATCCCGGAGGTGAACACCATCAGCAACCCGATGGCCAGCGATGATGGCGGGTCATTCACCGGAGCCTTCGTTGCGCACGACCGCGAGAGGAGCAGCGAATGGCCCCCTCCATTGGCGGCGATGGCGGAGGCGGCGGGGAGAGCCTTTGCCTTGGGCTTGGGCTTGGGCTTCGGATGGTTGTGATCGTCGGCGTCATGGTGGTACTCGGAGTGGCGGGAGGAAGCGAAGAGGCAGAAGGGGCGGGAGAGCGCGTCCTGGAGGAAGCGAGCCCCAGCCCCCGGCGCCGCACCGGAGGAGGCGGCGGCGGCGGCGGTGCAGCGCAGGCCAAAAGACGAGGCCAGGCTCTGCGCCACATAGCCGGAGTACGACATGGTGATGCGGATCGCCATCGCGAAGCTGGACTCCTAATCTCCGGGATCTTACTGGAGATCGTCGGTCACTTTCATACCGTCAGCCGGGACGGCGGCGGCGGCGGAGAGGGGCGCGGGGTATCGGGGGGATCTAGGGTTCTACCGAGTAGGAGGCGACCGCTACAGGGGTTCGTCGCGGTGGCAGCACGCAGATCGAGGATGCGGCGGTGGGAAGGGTAGGCCTCCGGAGATATGGGAAGTCGCCGCCGGTGGCGGCGGCGGCGGCGGAGGAGGCGAGTTGGGGGGAAGGAGAGAAGGTGGGAGATGGGGATGGTGGGTGGTGGAAGAGACGCGTCGGCTTTTTTATGTCGAGGCGGAGTCGCGGAGGCCGCTCGGATTTTCCAGATCTTTTTTACGATTGTTTTTTGCCCGCAAAGGTTGGAACGAGGTGGGTGTATAATTGGATATTTGGATATGTGTAAATTCGATTTTGCAAGTGCTGAAAAGTTTTGAAGATAAAAGAGGGAAGTGGTGCGATCGTTTTTAAATTTGAAATGTGTGTTTGACTGTTTGTCTAGGAAACAAATAATCATCCGCTTAAAACTTAAATCGAGTTCTTTTAAACAACTCGATATTTTTTTTCGTTTTACATTAGCACGTTTCTCAAACTAATAAAATGTTTCGTAAAAAAAATTTCTATGTAAAGTTTTGTTTAAAAAATCAAACAAATTTATCTTTTAAATATATAATAGTTATTAATATATAATTAATCGTGCGGTCATAATTCATCTTTTTTTTGGGGTCGCGAATAGCTACCGTCAAACTGCTTATTCGTACTGGCCCTCGGTCACGCGGTCACGCCAACGAAAGTTGCTAGCTAGGCTGTCGTTATGCGGTAGTATTATTGTTTTCAAGAATAAAAACAAAGGATATTCTTAGGTACTTTTTCTGTCAAAAAAAATTAACATGTGACTCCTCTTAGGATAGTTTATATTCGTTATTCTAGGAGGCGTCACATTTTTTTCTAGGTTGAGGTTTTTTTTTTTTTTAGAACGGAGGGGTAGGTGTACAGGTGTAACATACACCCCTTTACAATGAGTAAATATTATTTATATTTCTTAAATCAGAACTCATTAGTCATTACAACCATTATTTTGTGCACTTTATATCTATACTTGTAGCTAAGATCATATCCACACACAAAGATCAAGGATGTATACTGATTCCAAAAGTTGCGAAACTACAGTACACAGCACCACAAAAAAGAATGGCCAAAGATGTGCAAAAATCAGAGAATCCCCACCACTAGAGGGACAGATCAAATCATCAAATTGCACCTCCCACTATGGTATAGGGCATGAAGCGGTATAATGACCTGAAGCTATGCAGACAACGACATGAAACACATTTTCACTAACTTAGGGTGTGTTTGGATTCCAGCCACTGTCTGCCGAAGTTACAGTATTTTTGTCACGCTACATTGTTTTGTGATGTGGACAAAACGTCCGCCACACATGTGGCGAGCCACGTCGTGGCATGGCATTCTATGCCGCCAACCAAGCAAACCCTTAATATTCTAGCCATCTAATATCAGATATAATATATCATAAGTACATATAGTATAGGTGTTTTAAATTTTCGGAGAGAGGGAGTAAGTGCTACCATGACCACCACGTCAATTCCTATAGCTAAAAGCAACGGGGGATGCTGAAGTTGACAATTCGCAAGAGGTTGCCGGGTGCTGCTTCTTCTCTGATGCTTCTTCCCCTGCATAAGGTCCAGGTCATAGAGATTGAGTGAGTAGTATTTGATTAGTACCTCGTAAGCATGATTGGTCCTAAGAGATAGCAGTGTATGGCCGTGATCTGATCTCCAAGCTGCATGGATGAATTCAAGAAACATGGTAAGTTCTTATCAGAGTTCAACGTTTCAAGATTGCAGTAAATGTAAATAGCATAGGATGAGCTTTAGTTGAAGAATTCAGATTTCAGAGACGAAAGACGTGCGGACACGGGATAACTGAGAAATTGGCGTGTATATATTTTGTGTATAATGATGATCATCTTGTAAGCTGTAGATGCCAACAAAAAAAAATTCACTACTTTTTAGGTAGCTGACGTTTGAACTGTCGTAAGCACTCACGTTGCACAAAGTAACGGTATTAACAATTTGGTTAAGGAGGCAATTACAAATCAAGATGCCGACTTAGACTGGGCAAAGCACCGGAATTTTATAATGAAATGACAGCGAGCCATGAGGCAAATACTTCAGAGAACTTTTGCAGTATAATTTACTTACAGTATATAACTATATATTGTCAATATAAACCATTGACGGGTATAGATTGATCATTTGATCTGATCTCCACCTTAATTGGGTTGCAATATAAAATTAAATGAGGAAAACTTGACAACTCGGTTCTGGGATCAGGAGTGGAAAACTAGCCGCCTGACATTGGCATGATCAAACCAGAGAGCCGATTCCATCTTGAGCTATTGCGATAGTATGATTTACCCCTTAAAAAAAGAGATTTCGAGAGATACGTCCCTCCAAATATTTTTTTTAAAAAAATCGTTAACATGTTGGGGATTGAATACAGAACCTCGAGGTTAAAACTACACCCCCCCTTTGCCCCTTAAATTAGGACATTCGACATCTCAAACTCTTAAATCTGGACGAATTACCCCCCGCCCCCAGCACTATCTTGGGCGGTTTTAGGCTAGGCTAGCTGACCAAGGAGAAAAGCACAACCTCAAATGCCATGTTGAAGAAAGACCTATGGCGTTTGAGGTTGTCACGTCAATAAACTTTAAACTTTGTCATGCGAACACATTAACTTTGCGTGGAGAAAAGGTCATCTTCTTGCATGCAAACGGGAAGGCCATGGGCTCATGTATGGGAAATTAACTCGGCTGCAAAATCGAACAGCCTTTGCACCAAAAGAAATTAAATCTGCATTTAGATTGTACAATACGCTTATTAATTTGGATCTTTTTGTTTTTGCTTATGCGGCGATCAAACGTGAACAGAGGGACTATTAATTATTTTAAATTTAGAAAATTAATATGCTTTTTTAAAACAACTTCGTAGAGTAAAGTTTTGCAAAAAAAAAAAGCGCACAAAGCTTGGGGAAGCATACGCATGGAGAACGGGAGTTTTTTTTTATCTACTAGGAAAGAACACAGCCTGGAGTTTTTTTTATCTACTAGGAAAGAACACAGCCTAATATTAGATTAGATTTGCTAGATATATTTTTTACATTCCTTTAAGAAAACAAAACTGAGAAGTGAGAAAGTATATCGGTTTCCAAGTATATGAAATTGATTGGCATAATACGGGTCTAAATTATCGGGAGCAATAGTTAATTGCACGCGGCCGTTGTTTTTCTCCATGGTGTCCGTCCGTAGACCCCAAAATCGTCACCCAATCATAATCTGCCTAAAAATATGTTGTTATGTATGGAATTGGAAACAACGACCCAGATAACCCAAAGCCTCGTGGCTTCCTTCGACTATATATAAGGGCCACCCGATCAAGAGACCCCTGCCACAACAAAAAAAAAATATGGGAAATTGTGTAGGCGCTAGCAACCGCAGTACCTCGCGAGAAAACAAGGGAAATCACCGTGTCAGCCGTCGGTACGGCGTGGACGGCATCACCGTGTTCGGTCGAGCACACGAGGTGAAGCTGACGGCCAAGGTCGACGGCCGAGTTTATCGCTGCATCAAGGTCAGGGAGGGGATGTTCCTCACGCTAGCGACGGAGTACAACATGCCTGCGCTGATCGGCTGCCCGGGGGACGAACCGAGGATGCTGACCCCGTACGTGGATGACGACGAGGACGAGGACGACGCCACCGAGTCACCGACCCTGGCGCGCGGCATTACCGTGTGTTTTGCAAGAACCTGCCGTTGGAGGTGGTGGTCCGCGGGGGCCGCATTGCCTGCGTCAAGATTCGTGGCCGGAAACACCGTAGGCATTACTCGCTGCGTTCAAGTCAAACTACTCCAAATTTAATTAATTTTATAAAAAAATAAGTAATATTTTTAATCCAAGACAAATATATTATGAGAATTTATTCAATTATAGATATAAAATTATACTGGTGTTATAATTATTACTATTTTTTCTACAGAGTTCGTCAAACTAAACTTAAACTAGATTAGTTTGACTTTAACCAAAGTCAAAACGTCTTATATAACTTAAAACAGATGGTGTATTATTCTTTCAATTACTTCATCCGTTCAAAAAAAACCAATCTAGTACTAGATGTGGCATATACTCTGTCCAGATTCGTAGTACTAGAATATGTCACATCTAGTACTAGATTCGTTTTTCGTGGGACGGAGGGAGTATGTTCTAACGAATCCTATGCCCCTATCATTTCACTTATTCCACAAGAAGTGATACTACCTCTATCCCAAAATAAGTGCAACCATGAAAATCCGTGTCTAACGTTTGACCGTTTGTTTTATTAAAAAAATTATAAAAAAATTTAAAAAATAGTCATACATGAAGTATTATTCATGCTTTATTATCTAATAACAATAAAAATACTAATCATAATTTTTTTTTAAATAAGACGAACGGTCAAATGTTTGACGTGAAGTGTAAAATTACACTTATTTTGAAACGAAGGGAGTATTTGCAAACGAAAAGTGATCTACGAATAAAACTTCTATTTGTGTGTGAGTTTGGCCAGCCGATCGTATGCATGTGGCCATGTTATGTCGTCGCTTTGATCTTTTTCGCGAACGCGCAAGAGGATCTTTGCTAGCACGAATGTATGCATCACTACTTAAAAAAAACTTCGTGTTATCGTGCTACTACTGTCGTGTTACACTCTTGGTAAGCGTTGGTTGGCATTTTTCAGGCATGGTAAGTGACAGGATGGTGCAGTAGTCACAATTTACAGATTGTGTAGAATACGTTTGAAACACCAGTGCATCTGCAAATATTGCTCAAACAAGTCACTGCAATGAAATTAAGCATCGAGTTCTTTTCACAACCAAATCAGTGAGAGGAAAAAGGAAAAGAAATATCATCACGCTGACCAGAAGTTAAGTAGCTTGTCAAATAAAATCTTATAAAGCAACTTTACGGTTTATTACTGAGTACACTCTTGTTTCGATGAGCACAAAGGTTTTCATCTGTAAGGTGAGGCAGATAAGCAGTGATATACTCTCTCTTTCCCTAAATGTTTGACGCCGTTAATTTTTTTAAACATGTTTGTCTGTTCGTCTTATCAAAAAACTTTTTGTGAATATTATTCAAAAACTTGAGTAGTAGTATATTTAACAATGGATCAAATGATAGGAAAATAATTAATAATTGTTTAATTTTTTTTGAATAAGACGAACGGTCAAATATGTTTAAAAAAGTCAACAGCGTCAAATATTTAGGGACAGAGAAAGTACATTATAAAGAAGAATCGTCATCACTTTTTCTAATATGAGCAAAAACTTCTAAAGCAATCTTATGCTACACTCTTTTTTGAGAACATCTTATGCTACACTCGAAGGGCGCAAAGCTGTGGTGTACTAGAGCCACATATAAGATTCCAACACCAACAACCAAGGTTGTAGTTTAATTTGTTTTTTTCTTTACGATATGTAGATATTAAATTTTAAGTTACAACTGATATATTACATATTAATATACCTTTCTTTTCATGATTAACATGCAGGAACATCCTTCGAGAGCTTAGAATAGAATAGTTTCCCCACGTATATTCATATACAAAACTAAGGATCACCATTCACAGCTAGATTCACTTAGCTAGCTCTACCATGATTGCTCGCTAAACAAGTTGATCAAGAAAACAGAAAATGAGCTAGATCAAGAGGACAGAAAAGGAGCAGAGTCAAAAGTACATGTAAGGAGTTTGTGTTACACATCTATCACCTTTTTGGGGTCATCGTCCTCTGCAACACTGCTAATTGGTATCAAAAATTGAAAGTTGAAGCAATCAAGCAGGATGGGATGGAAACTACAGAGTTCTCCGTACTAACATCCTGTCAGTGATTAAGATACAATGTTATATAATATTCAATACGTAACATGAAAGCGAAAATAAATAAGATTAGGGAAAGTAACTTCATAATGCCAGTAAGGAAGCTAACAGGTTTCCATTATCGAAAAAGTAAGAAAGCTAACAGACAGTGTGAAATACACAATGTTAATCACAGCTGCAAAATAAAATGAAGAAAATGAAATGTGAACCGTAGATGAATTCTCATTTTGACCATTCTCACTACATATATCTTAGAACGCATATAGCATAATACCATATAAAGGATTGCTAAATTTCTGATAGATTCAATTGAATGTGCTACAGTGGTATGGAAATAACATTTCTATCCTTCACATTTAACCAAAAGAATGCGTTGGTTTTACAAATTTAGAAAGAAAAAGCTACACGACATTGACTAAGGATGTCCACACGGGTTACATGTCAAGTTAAATAAAAATAACTTCTGAATCAAATGGTCCTTTAATCCGTTCTATCCAGTTACACATAGAATATTATGTGTACCTCCAGGTGGTGTTCTGAAAAGTGAGGTGCCACCCAAAGCAGAAGACGCAAATCTTGCTGGAGTGGATCCTAGTGCAAGTGTGGAAGCTGAGCCAAATGGTGTGGGCTGCAGCATAGACCCAGATGAACTGAAAGGGCTGGGTGATGGAGCAGGACTTGTTTGAATGCTGAACCAGGGCAAAGCAGAAAGTGGTGTTCTAAGAATTGCACGAGTACTAGATGAAGTTACGCCAGTAGGGGATGACAATTGCAAAGGTTGGCTTGCCAGCACAGATACATCAACCCCTGTAGGATGGACTATTCTGGCAGTGGCTTCTTGTTTAGCTGCCTCTCTTCTATCTGCCTCCAAAAAAGGATCGCTACAATCACCCATGAGCCGCCAAGCATTCCGATAGTGAGTTCTCATTACCTCAGCATATTGATGAAGATTTTCCACCTGGACAAACAAAAACATCAGAGAAGCTCAGTATTCTCTGAACACCAAACAATATAGTTCCATACAACAAGAATTTAATATATTTTAGCGACACATAAAAACAAAGTGAACCTATCACTTGGGGTATGTTTCTGTTGTGTTACAAAACGAAATAGATATATTAGCTTAAATATGCTCAAAACTGTAAATAACCAACCACCTTGACAACTTTAATTACGAATTTAAATTGAACAACTTCAGAGTGGATCTGAGCAATATATAAAGAAAAATCCATGCAGTATTCAGAATATGTAATGCCAGTGATCAATACATGTATTCATCATAAATTACCTGGGTAGCAACATGGATGAGATAGTCGTACACATTAGGCACTACTGTTGACAGGGATTCGAACGCATTTGAATAGTTCTTATCATTCTTTATTTGAATAAGCTGCTCTAGCTCTCCGACCATTCTGCTGCATTCCTCAAGACGGTTCTCAAACTTGGAAACAGTGTGTTGCATAAAAGGAGAAGGCCGCATTGCAACACCACTGTAAAAATCAAATGTTGGCACAATTGCTGAGGGTTGATTGAAATAAGTTGGAGCACCAGATGGTCCAGCATGATGAGCAAAACCAGTATTTGCAGTTCCAGAATATCTACGGATGAAATTTGGTCTCAGCTTTTGATATGAGCGTATAGCCGAATCTGTGTTCCGCATCATTTCTTCGACCACAGCCATTAAGCTCCGAATGGAAACCATCTCCCTGTCCATGATGGTGGAGGTTGATCCTATCTCCTGTTTCAGAAAGGAAAATCCTCCTGTTACAAACAAAGAATAAAGTTGAACGCCCTATTTCAACTAGTGGATTCATGAACTATTCCTTCCTCTTTTAGTTTTGAACATATTTTCAATATAAAGTAGTTTCAGAAAGTAGCCTAATCAATAAGGAGGCTGAAGTCAAGGCCAGTAAAATCCTTTTTTGTACTGTACAAGTGTACATTCAACAAAATACATCATATCGCCCCCCAACTATTTGAGACTGATAATTTTCGTGCTGCAGAATATTGATATCTTGCACATTTGTGAAGTAACATTAAGTCATTACTCAACCAAAGATATGCGCATTACACTTAAGAACATTGAATATCAGCTGGTACTCAACTGATCTGTGAAGACTGAAAATATAGTTGATGAGTGGTGACTAGCGCAAAAGCTATATACCTAATAAAAAGCATACAAGCAAGTAAAGCAATGATTTCATGGTATTACACTAATATGTGGGGACCAAAACATTTCCAAAGTAACTAGTAGTACCAAATAACAGCCCAAGAAGTAAACAAAACCTGAGAAATCTGCGTAGCATACAGCTCAAAACTCCTGCTAGAGACTGATGGGTCGTAGAGGCGGCTGCACTGGTCCAACAGATCGCTCTCATGCTTGTACTCCCTCATCTTGTTCCTGAAAATCACAGGTTAACCAGGTGACGATCGTAGAGCAATGGAAGTTTAGACAAAGCAATTAACACAAAGCACAGAGATCTTTATCAAGGGAGACATCAAGAACACACGGAAACCCCCATTGATCTGCCCTTGCCTTCTTTCAGAAAAGGGGGAAAATGAAAAGAAAAGAAACCCATAGTGATCCCTAAATTCTGTAAAAATCGCCACAGATATCTCATAAAAACCCAGAAAATAAACTTCGACGACAATGGGGCAAAAAGAAGCCAAAAGATTCAGACCGTCTCCCAAGAATATCGAGAACGCGATGCGACGAACAATTTCCACGATTCACATCTTAATAATGGAATGCGTTCTCCTGTTCACCTTACCGAAAAAAAGGGAAAATGCAAGGCAATCTCGATAAAGAGCCCCAACTCGGATTCCCCCAAAAATGAAGAACGCGATGAACATCGCCCCAATCCCCCAATAGAAGATCAAGAATGCGGAGCAAGCCATACTCGATGTGCAGCAGAAGCTCCTGCGATTGCGGATGCAGCTCCACCCACTTCGTCCCGTACCCCGCAGCCCTTCCCTCCACCGTGTACAGCCTCAGCTGCTGCGACTGCTGCCGCGCTGCCTCCCACACCTGAAGCTGCAGCTGCCGCAATGCCGCCTCCGCCGCCGCCGCCGCGCGACGCCGCTCGAACTCCCTCAACGCCGCCGACACGGGCACGGCCACCTGCTGCTGCTGAGGCGGGGACACGGACGCAACGGGAGACTCTTGGAACATCGTCCGCGCAGCCGGCGGCGGGTGCCTAGTCACCTGCCTCTGACCCGTCGGCGGCGTGTGCAGTGCACGAGACGGCTGAGGGCTATCCACCTCCATCTGGCCGCGCCCGCGCGGCGGGCGAGACGACCGAGAGCCAGCCACCGGCGTCTGACCCGTCATCGGAGCGTGCCTCGCGTGAGGCGGCGGCGGCGGGGCGCACGTAGAGGTTGGTGTCCGCGTGCGCTTCGGCGTCGCCGTCGCCGTCGCCATCCCCGCCGGTGGGCCATTCTCCGGGATTGTGGGGAGCCCCGGCCGCTTCTGGGGCGACCGGCGAGGGGGAAGGGGCGGCTTCCGCGACGACGAAGGCGGCGAGGGCGAGGGCGAGGGGGAGGAGGATGACGAGAAGCTGAAGCGCCTCGCCAAGGCCTGCAGGTCCGCCTCAGCTTCATCCTCCACGACCCTGAAGCGCGACATGGCGGGAGGTTGTCTCGAGGAAGACGAAGAGTTCCCGGCGCGTGGCGGGGCAAATGGATGGACGGATTTGCCCCTAGCGGTTGCGCCGAATTGCGGGCGGTCTTGGCGGTGGGCGCTACGGGGTTTCGCGCATAACGCGGGGGTATTTATGGGTCAAGAGTTTCTCGCTGCTGACGTCATCGCCCGTCGGTGAAAAATGACGCAAACGAGAATCGCCTGCAAAAGAGAGAACGGGATTGCTCTCTGAATTCTCTTCTTCCGTGGCCAAGATGAAACAAGTGAAATCGCCTGCAATTTAGGCATGGCCTGCGCTGTATTTTTCTCTGAACTCAAAACTGTGCTGCAAGCATACTCTGTTCAACTGGGATACAACCATCGAAATCCTCATCATCCATCCAACAGGTGATTGATCATTAACTCCAGGAAACAGATTCAGAAACTCTATTCCAGAACATATATATACAGAAAGACAAATTTGTGCAAGCTATCTCATGGGACATTGCTTGAGTTTACAGGGAAGGAGCTATCTGAATCCTGAGGGGAAGACCTGAACAGCATAAAACACACGCCATTATACATTCAGTAAAGCAAGCAACAGCAATCTAACCTGGATAGCTACCACGCTGCTGAACCTTAGTGCATTACCCAAACCACAGAACTTCAGGCATCATAATTATCCGGCAACCAATACAAAATTTTCACAAGGAGCGGTATATGGATGCTTGGTGACTTGATTCAGTCGGTTTCATGATCTGGGCGAGGCGTATACCAATCAGGAAATCTCCCCATTCTTCTCAGTAGCCTCGTATAGGAGGACTCCGGCATTAGGGCCTCCTGTTCTTCAGCAAGCTCTTCCTGTGTTTTCGGCAATCCGTCAGGCACAGGGAAAGGCCTTGGCTTCGCAGCTTGCCCCAGGGAGTTTGATGATAGTGAATTATGAGATTTCTCAGCCATCTTCTTTCTTAGATCTGAACGGTGATGGATGCTATTGATCAGGTACCTCGGATCTCCCTCGGAGTCCTTCACCATCCTTGCAATTTCCTCTTTGGGTAGCTCTTGCTGTCACAAATGGAGAAACCCTGTTAATTCGTTGAGTCCAAGTAGACTGCAAGCTTAATAATCTTGATATGATTGTACAACAATCAATACGAATGGCACAAACCTCAAGTTTATTGAGTTCAAAGTAAGCATCCCAACAGCTGCAGCACTCATCACCTTCTAGGGTTGTGCAATAATCTGTATCCAGATCAGAGGAACAATTGTTAGGAAATGATTAGACAACTTCTTATGCAGTTGATGTTGCAGAGACAAACCTACTTAAATCAGGTTCTAACTGAATCACATTCACACAAGCTGAATCATTTTTTTCCACAAATATGCAAGAGGATTGTGTATCCTTGTATTAAGGAGGGTATCAGGGTAAGCACACAGAATGTTGGACAGGCTCAAAGAGCCAACCCAGCTGACGTTTTACATAGGTTTACATCTCACAAAAGATTGATGAAACGACCAACAGCAGAGAAGAACCTGAAAAGGGGACAAGCCTACAGATCACGACAAATTGAATTTTCTTTGTGCATTTCCATTCTCATTTCATCTAGTTGAAATTTTATTCAGATCACTGTATTAGCTCTGTACATTTGGCCTCGAAAGCCAATAATTGCATATAATGATTAAATGATTTATATATAATACAAAACAACCCTTCCTCTGTTTGACTACAGCACAACCTTACAGACATCAGCAACAATAATTTCATCTTACATTGAAATTAAAGCATCTATTTAAGACCCTCAATCTCCAATTGAAGAAACTGTTTTACGCCTCTACATCTTGCATTACACGCTAATTGTAGGCTTATAGCACTACTTAATTCTTATGCTTGTTCACACAACATTTAGTAGGGATATATTTTAGTTTGATCTGGCAGCATCACTGGTCCTAAGAAGTTATCACGAATCCTACTAAGAAATTACCACGAATCCTCATAAATTACCCCTAATTAACTAAAGCAACTTAGATCTCAGAACTGGAGCATGCACTGCTACTAAAACTAAACAGCAAGTGGCCTAAACCTCGGCAGGAAGCCGCATCCCACGCAGTAAAATAATCCCAAAATATTGCTAGAAAACAGGCAGTGAGGTGATAACTCGGGCTCTCGGCTAAAGCAGCAACACAACCCAGCAGCTTTACCTGTGATCTGGTCTTTGGTGCGCTGGACGAGAGGCTTCTCCTGCCTGAGGAACTCGTCGAGGACGCTGCGGCTCGAGCTGAAGGGCTCCCGCTTCGGGATCGAGTCGTAGTTCCGCACCGCGCGAACCACTACCCCCGCCGCCGACCCGCGCCGCCCAGCCGCGGCGGCCGTGCGGGAGGCCGAGAAGGCGGTGGCCGTGGCCGTGGCCGTGGCGGGCTGCGCCAGCGGCCGGAGAGCGGTGGAGGACAGCATTTTTTTTTCTCCGGCGTGGTCCCCGGCTAATCGTCTTCTTCTCCGGTGGATTTTGGGAAGGATGGAACTAGGCGAGTGGATTAGCTCGCGGCCTATATATATAGCAGCAATAGCGGAAAGCGCACGAAACGGATAAGGATTGGCCGCGAGATAGTTTATTTTGTTTGTTTTGGATTTTTGTTTTGCAATTCTAACCTTCAAGTTGTCCTATTATCGAAAATAAAGACGGGAGGGATTAAAATATCTTGGGATACTTCGGCTTTCGGAGACTTTTCCATCGTCTGCGCACCCGGGATCCAAAACGGTGGGATCTGAGCCGTCGGTTTCGAACTTGGTTACAGCTACCCGCGTATAAGAGCAGGTACAATAGCAGATATAAACCAGCTTCAAACATATTTTAAGAAGATAAATGAGAATAGAGAACAGCAGTGGGCTATAAATTTATAGTCAGCTGTAGCACGAACTCCAAGACACGGGGTGTGTATTATAGGTGGGACCAGATATTAATAGTGTAGTATGTAACTATTGTATAAATAGGCTATTAGATTAGTTACAGAAAAATTGGAGCTACTAGTTTGCTACTAGTTGGCTGTACTATTAAAATTGCTCTAATAAACCACGGCAAGAAGTGTCGACGTGTACAGATTTTGACTAGGGAGTCGTCGTATTTGTTATTGATATATACGTGTAGTTGATACATTTGATTTAGTCTAGCTTAAGTCTAGCTTATTTGGCCAAATGATGGCTGGGACCCAGGTGGTGCGTGCAGCTCGTAGAAACTAGTAGAAAGATATGGTCATATGGAGCAACATTTTCAGACAGAATCAGAATGCTCATTTGAAAGCTATACATGTATATTAGCATATCTATGATTAGCGCAATATCTGCCAAGCTGGCAAGCTTGATATACACGGACCGTGTTATACGTGTCCTGTAATTACAGAGTCGCAGAGTATGACAGGGCTCTGCATTCAGGTAAAGCACATCTTCACTTGATCACTTTCAGTCATGATCTGCCATTCTTCTGAGCAGCCTGGTATGCGTGGACTCCGGCATGGCAGCTTCCGTTTCTCCCTCGAGCTCTTCTGCCGTCTTGGGCAGCTCGTCCGGCGCAGGGAAGTAAGGTTTGGTTTTGGTGGAGTGATCATCACCCGGAGACGACGACGACTCGGCGGCCGTCTTCCGCGCCTGCGCACGGCGGTGGATGGCACTGATCAGGTGGCCCATGTCGCCGCCGGCATCCTTCACCACCGTCTCCAGCTCCGCTCTTGGCAGCTCCATCTGCACATCAAATCATCGAAGAACTAACAGTGGTTAATGCAAATATTATTAGTGGTAATAGATTGATACTACTAGCTCGCTAGATTGCCCAAACAGCACGGTTAATTTAGCACACCTCGAGTTTATTGAATTCTTCGACAGCGTCCCAGCAGCTGCAGCACTCTTCGCCTTTGAGCGTCGTGCAGTAATCTGCGAATAAGGCTGTGTTTACTTCGTGTGATTTTTTTTTACACGAACACATATTTTACATATTTGAAGTATTAAATATAAACTAATAACAAAATGAATTTACAAATTCCACATGTAAACTGCGAGATAATTTATTAAACCTAATTAATTCGTTATTAGCGAATGTTTACTGTAGCACCACGTTGTTAAATCATGGCGTAATTAGGATCAAAGGATTCGTTTCACGATTTACATGCAAACTATGTAAGTGGTTTTTTTCGTCCACATTTAATGTTTCATACATGTGTTAAACATTTGATGTGATGGAAAAGTTAAAAATTAAAAAAAAATTGAATCTAAACACGGTCTAAGTACTTCAACTGGTTATGACCACTGGTGTCCTGTGCCCATGTCAGATAATCAGATGGCACGAGAAAAAGTTCACCGGACGACGTACCGGACATCCGGTCCTTGGTGTGCTCGACGAGATGCTTCTCCTTATTGACGGACTCGTCGGCGGCGCCGCGCCAGCTGAGGGCGGCCTCCCGCTCCGGTGCCCCGTGTCTCCCGACACGGACGACGCGCCCGCGCGCGCGCGACGAAACGGCCGGGAAGAAGAGCCGGGCCGGCGCCGCTCGCGCCAGCGGCAGCGGCAACAGCGTGGCGGTGGGCGGCAACATCGCGGCGCGTGCGTGCTGGGTGAGTGAGTGTGCTGTGTATGTTGGCGCGTGGCTGCCTATCGTGCGGAGGACGAGCAGGTGTGCATGGTGGCCTTTATACGTGTACGTCGCGCATCGTCGTCGCGGCCGCGGGGCAAAACCGGCAGGGAAGCCGTAACACCGCCGCTGTTCGGGGATCCCATCGGCGCGGCGCACAGCCACTTGGCAACGACCGCGCGACGGCGCGACGGGACGGGAGCCGTTGGTTTGGCGGATTCCCGTGGGCTTCCCGTGTAGAACGATTCGGTCGTGAAACGGGTCGCGGGAAAGCGCTCCGCGATCGCGATCGAGCCCGCCCACGGCCCATGGGCAACTCTGGAGATGGGCTAACGACGGTTGTGGCTGAAACTGCAGCCTGTTCCGGGACGTCACACATGGAATTTTTTTTATTTTTTATTTTTTTATTAAAAGTTTTACAAAAATAATTTTTCATTTTGAAAATTGACAGAAGTGGTCGCCTACCGCCCTCTGGGAGGGCGATTTTTAAAAATCGCCATCCCAGAGGGCGGCGAAAGTGACGTGGCAGACGGCCGTTCGCTCTCGGACGACGGCCGTCAACGAAATTTGCAGGCGGCCCCCTTGCCGCCCTCCGCTAGGGCGATTTTGTACTGTGCGGGGGGCCGCCTGCAAATGGGCGGCGGGGGGCCTGGAATTTTGCAGGCGGCCCCCTTGCCGCCCTGGGGGAGGGCGATTTTATACTGTGCTTTATATTTTTGTATAAATATCAATAGTTATCAAATCTTTTTATATTGAAAACTATACAAGATTAAAATCTCCAAGACTGGTAAAATACAATTTTATTATTTTTTAGGGCCTATTTGGAATGTTACCGTACAAATATTTTGTTAGTGCCAAAATATAAGCAAGTTTTGGCACTACCAAATATTTGGTAAGGTAAAATTGCATTTGATCATATTTGGTTTGCTGCCAAAATGTAAAATTGTAGTGAAGAATGTTCTACATAATCTCAAATCTAGATTACGTATTACCAATGAATAGTCTTCAATCGAAATCAAACACAAGTACTATTCAAATTACCAAAATATTGGTAGGGCATGTTTTTGGTAGCAATCCAAATAGGCCCTTAGTCTTACGCATACAAAAAATCACCACCATAATTAAACATTGTAATGATAAGATAGATAAGAAGTGCCATCGATACACGGTACAAATTTGTCGATCCCGACGAATCAAGCATGCGGTAACCTATCGGCCCCTTCTAGGTCAGTCAGAATGCATTGCATTCTCGTGGTCCTTCAATCGTTGATACTCTACTTGTGTTTCTGACTCTGTTATCTTCTGGCCATGATATGATGGAGTGACATTGTCGATCCATCGAGTAAATCCACCCATCCTTGGATTGCCCTGTAAAAATAGTAATGTTATTCAGTTTGGGTAGTAATTTTGTGCAAATCATAGCGGATTTTGTAAATGGTTAGACATACAACGAAATCGTTGTCTACATTGGGGCAGACAAAATATCTCCTTCGAAATGTTTGTTCAGCAAAGGATGTAGCCACCTGCCAGCGATCTCTGCACCCACACTTTGGACGCTCGGACCATTTAGGTAACCCTAATAGATTGTTCCTCCAGTCTAAGCTTGCAATTTCCACCCGACGTTCGTACTCCATCCAAGCATGAATGAACTGTATGGTCGGTTCAGGTTGCGTTATCGGCCCGCCACTTGAAGTAACTCTGACTGTGTCAATCCATTGTACGAATTGACATTTCCTTACATCCTCCTATGTACATCCATTTTGGGATAGTTAAGTTAATGATAGTACTGAGGAGTGATGAAAAGAATAGTTGTAATTACCACGAAATCATCGTCGACAATGTTTGGACACACGAAACACCTTTGTCCTCGAGTTCGGTGCCTTACGGACCTTATGACCTGACAACTGTAGCGCCCGTTCCGTCGTGGCGCCTAGCGGGAAAATTATCTCTTAAAAACCCTAATTGCGAAATTTGTTTCTTTGCTTGTTGTCTAGTGTCCGTGCCATCTCAAGATCTCAATCCCCGATCTATCGTCGAGTTCAATTCCGAATCCAAATCCTTCCAATCAAATTCCTCCGCAAAAGTCTATTTTGCCTCCCCCGAGGTCGATGGGCCGAATCTCGCTCGGCCCATCTTCCCCTCTTCCCCGGCCCATCTCTCCCTCTCCCCCCGAGCGCTCTCCCGCTCGCTCTCTCTCTCTCTCTCTCTTCCCCGCCCGCACGCTGCTCGCGCGTGCGAGAGCCTCCCCGAGCGCCTCTCTCCCCGCTCCCCCCTCCGCCCCGCCCGCGCGCCGCGCGCGCGTGCGCGGGAGTCGCCCGCGCCGAGCGCCCCTCCCCTCGCGCGAGCTCCCCGCTCGCAAAGACGCTTCCCGCGCGCCGTGTTCGCGTGCGCGCGCCCGCGCGGACGCCACCCGTTGTTTCCCGCGCGCGCGCCGAGTGGCCGACCGCCCGGTCGCCGCCGTCGTCAGCGTCTGCCGCGCCTGTCGCCAGTGTCGCCGCTCCGCTCCAAACCGCCCGCCGTCATCGCCGTCGTCACCGCCCGGCCCCCGCCACTCCGCGCGCAAGCCGCCAAGGGAAGGAGGCCGCGCCCCTCCTCTCTCTGCCGCGTCGCCCCCGCTCCCCTCCCCCTTTTTCCCGAATCGGCAAAGGGGCAAGCCCCCTTTCTCCCCCTCCTTTTCCCCTTTTTCCTCCTCGCCGGCGTCATCCTCCCTGTCGCCGCTTTGGCCGCGACCGCCGAGCGCCAGCTCGCGCCCTTGACCGCCCTAAGTCGGTTCCCAAACCGACATTGCCATCCTATAAACCCAAGCCTCCCCCTTTCCCTTCCTCTCCCATTCGCCTCCTGACCGTTGCCGCCGCCCCGTGCTCTGTCTCGCCTCCGCCGTCCTTCGCCAAGCGCCGGGAGAGCCGGTGCGTTCGAGGACGCGGAAGGGGACTTCGGCCGCGCCCTCTCCTTCCTCTTCCCCGGCCCGAGGCCGGAGAGATTACTCCCGCGCCGCCGGCCTCTCGTCACAGCGCCCCTCCTCTTCTCGGTGATGTCTCTCTCCGTTCTTCCTCCTCGCTCCATCTCCTCCCCCTAGCTTTCAGTAGTAGCTTGAGTAGCCTCCCCGTAGTTAGCCGGCGCCGCCCCGACCGTTGCCGTCGCTCGCCGTGTGTTTGCCGCCGTCGCCGCTCGAGCTCCGTAGCACCCGCTCGTCGCCGGCCTCGCTCGGCGTAGTTCCGCCCAATCCGACGCTAGCGTCGAGCTCCCGAAGCCGCATAGATGCTCTCACCGCCGGGAATCGATCTCTCGTGACCTCGTCGCCGTTTCCCTCTTCTCCCGCCGCCGGTTGCCGCCGCCGCAATCCGCCGTCGTCGAGCAACCTCCGACGAATCCGAGCCGTTGGCTCGTCTCCCCTTGTCACGTGCAACCGCCCGGTGTGCACGCTTTTGCCCGTATCGCCGTGGTTCGCTCCGCCGCTCGCCGCCGCCGCCCGCCGTCCATTCGCGGCCGGGTCGTCGTCTACCTCCCGCCAGCCCACGTGGCCGCCACGTAGGCGCCACGTCGGCGCCAGCTCAGCCTAGACCGGATCGAGCCGACCCCGGTCAGTCCCTCCCCGTGCGCGCGTTCCACCGCGAGCCGTGAGGCTGCACGTGGGCCCGCCGCACCTGCGTCCACCACGGACCGCGCGCGTGCACCGCGTCCTTTCCCTGCCCGCGCGCATGAGCCACGTACTCCCTCCGCACGGTGAGCCGAGCCGCTGACAAGCGGGTCCCACCCGGGACCGCGCGTGGTGAGCCCGGTCCACCGGACTCTCTCTCCTCCCTCCCGCGCGCGCGCGCTTGGGCCGTCTTGGGCCGGCCGGCCCGTTAAGCTCGGCCGAGCCGCTCCATTTACCTTGGACCGCGCCCTAGCCGCCCGAGGAAAAGTCTAATTTCCATCCCTCTGTTCTTTCTTTTCTTTTCTTTTTCAAAAAGGATTTAATTAAATCCTTTTCCTTTAGACCAAAAATCCAATAATCTTATAAATTCAATATCTTCCCAACCGTAATTCCATTTGACTCCATTCAACTTCTAAAATTTCCCAAATCTCGAGATCTATCTAGTGGCACGCTTAGAGGTCTTTAATAGGGCTTTATTTTCGCCGTTTGTTGAGTTGTCCCGTTTCGCGTGTAGTTTCGGAGCCCGAAGACCCGCAGTGCAAGGATTTCGAGGATCAAGCTCCAGATCTCGAGCAAGGCAAGCCACCTTTGAACATCTTGAGCCTATATTTGAAATTTAATTATATTGCTTGCGAAATATTATGCATTGATAGGATCACACTTAATCTGTTGTCCCGTCTGCAAGGCAGATTGGCAGACCTACCTAATTTGTTGCATTTGATCCTTCCTTTGTTAATTGTTATACCATGTCCCCTTGTAACCACCCAGTTGCACCTCGATATTCGTGCACTCTGTGCGAGTATCGACGGTCGCCTTCAAACTTAAAATCTGAGAAACAACTTGGGTAAAACTGGAGTTTTACAAAAGACTTGGAAAACCCGACACCTGGGTCGGTGCTTGCGAACTAAATGAATTTCCAAAACCGCGGACCGGGGAACGTACCGGGTGTACGGTTTCCCGCTCTCGCACTTAAGGACCGATTCCTTGGAATTTCATCCAAACATAAGACAAGTACGACCACATGGGTGGAATGGGACACCCCTGGCTGAGTAACTAGCCTATCAGGGGAGCCTTGATGCCGAGAGACATGTGGATTCGCCGGGGTGGTGTCGGGGAGGACCCCTGGGCTTCCTGGCACAGTATGGTCTGGGACCTAACCTGTTGTTGGTCTGGGACCCCTCTCGTCGGCATATGGTAAACCTGTATCGGCTTTCGAAATGCCTTGTCATGAAAGCTTGGAGGTCTCCCGACGTGGCTGATCCCCACGGGCTGGGTGATCCGGGTTAGTAATGTCGTGTTGGTAAAGTGTACCCCCTCTGCAGAGGTTAACAAACTGTTCGAACAGCCGTGCCCACGGTCATGGGCGGATGTGAGGTGATTCCTA